CAATTTTAAGATCTCTCCACAGGTGTTCAATGGGATTTAGATCTGGGCTCATTGCTGGCCACTTCAGAACTCTCCAGCGCTTCTTTGCCATCCATTTCTGAGTGCTTTTTGACGTATGTTTGGGGTCATTGTCCTGCTGGAAGACCCAGGATCTTGGACGCAAACCCAGCTTTCTGACACTGGGCCCTACAGTGCGACCCAAAATCCTTTGGTAATCCTCAGATTTCATGATGCCTTGCACACAGTCAAGGCACCCAGTGCCAGAGGCAGCAAAACAACCCCAAAACATCATTGAACCTCCACCATATTTTACCGTAGGTACTGTGTTTTGTTCTTTGTAGGCCTCATTCCGTTTTCGGTAAACAGTAGAATGATGTGCTTTACCGAAAAGCTCTATCTTGGTCTCATCTGTCCACAAGACGTTTTCCCAGAAGGCTTTTGGCTTACTCAAGTACATTTTGGCAAACTGTAGTCTTGCTTTTTTATGTCTCTGTGTCAGCAGTGGGGTCCTCCTGGGTCTCCTGCCATAGCGTTTCATTTCATTTAAATGTCGACGGATAGTTCGCGCTGACACTGATGCTCCCTGAGCCTGCAGGACAGCTTGAATGTCTTTGGAACATGTTTGGGGCTGCTTATCCACCATCCGGACTATTCTGCGTTGCAATCTTTCATCAATTTTCCTCATCCGTCCACGACCAGGGAGATTAGCTACAGTGCCATGGGTTGCAAACTTCTTGATAATGTTGCGCACTGTGGACAAAGGCAAATCTAGTTCTCTGGAGATGGACTTGTAACCTTGAGATTGTTGATATTTTGCCACAATTTTGGTTCTCAGGTCCTCAGACAGTTCTCGTCTCCTCTTTCTGTTGTCCATGCTTAGTGTGGCACAGACAGACACACAATGCAAAGGTTAAGTGAACGTCTCTCCTTTTTATCTGCTTTCAGGTGTGATTTCTATATTGCCCACACCTGTTACTTGCCCCAGGTGAGTTTACAGGAGCATCACATGCTTGTAACATTCTTATTTATCCGCAGTTGTGAAAGGGTGCCAATACTTTTGTCCAGCCCATTTTTGGAGGTTTGTGTGACATTATGTCGAATTTGCTTTCTTTCCTCCCTTTTTTTGTTTTGTCCCAATACACACAAAGGGAATAAACATGTGTATAGCAAAACATGTGTTAATGCAATACGTTTCGTGAGAAATACATGATTTCCTGGAGAAATATCAAGGGTGCCAACAATTTCGGCCATGACTGTATATACTCAGCGTGCTCGAACAACAATCGTGCTATAAAAAGAATAATAGCAAATATACAATACCATCAAACTATATAGACTGTGAACTTATATGCAAAAGACAATATGTATGTATATTAAAGTCCCAATCAGTGTGCGAACATACAAAAGTTACAATGTGAAAAAATCCCCATCCTAAGCAAGCGAATCTCAGATGGAGTCTTTAGCTTGCACCAGCTTGATAGTAGACCTTCACCGAATTCTAAACAACTAAAAATCTAAAACAAAAGAACAAAAAAGAAAAAATACTTACCTTGGACTGATGCTTTACCTAAGCATTCCTTACATCCTTGCTAGAATCCTGGTAAAGCTAAGGATCCCAAATCTTGCAAGAACATTCTCCTGCACTCTACAAGGTGGATTCCAATGGGAGTATGTTTTTTTTATTTTTCTCTTTTTTTTTTAGCCTGTGGGTAGGAGCATCAGGTAGGCTTCTGCATATCTCTTATCTACTCAGACTGCAACAAGGTCCACTTAAAGTTATAATAATATTGTCAACCAGGGGCAGACTGACAACTGATGGGGCCCCCAAGCAAGAGGGGATCATGGGGCCCCTGTGTCCTTGCCCACACTTAAACCACACCCAAAAAAAGCCTATGAAAGGTGCCAGGGGCATCTCATGGGGCCCCCTACTGACCCCAGGCCCTCAGGCAGTGCCCGTGTTTGCAAATGGTCAGTCCGCCCCCGTTGTCAACCAACCTACAGAAGGAATAGAAGCAGAACCTCAAAAGTCCTGTACAAAGTCAGCTTATATCTTGTGAAATACATTGAGATCTGCTAATTGAGGTAGACAAATTTGTAATAAAAGCATCTGCAACTTTCATGCAACATACAGTAAACAGTAAAAAATAGAGTTATACAACATGCATTTTCCTTTTGGGTTTTAACCAGACACAAAACCTTTTTTATTTTCCTTTCTACAACCTATAGGCAGCAGTGACAGAAAGTACCCTATGTTCTGCTATGTGGTCAGTTACGGGTGAGAGAGCATTTATTTTCATCTCCCAAGACATGTGAGGGTATGTGCACATGGGCAGAATTCCCTATGGCCTTTCTGAAGTACTGTTTCCCTAAATAGTCAAGTTGAACTTCTTAGGAAACCCATACTGGACCCAAGCCATGGGGAATACTGTGCACAAACCTTAAAGCAAATTAGACTGGAGGAAAGGGTTGTGCTTACTTAATAACATGCTGGCTTCTTACATCTCACAAGGACTTCAGGTGCCTGGCATGCACTGGGACTAAATCATTCTTACAGGACATTCAGAACTAATCAGTTTACATTCTCTTCAGCTGAGAGAGATAAACTCAGAATACCTACAGACATAACAGAAGGTTGGACTGGCTGTTTGCAGTTGGTAGAGAAAACACTGATAGGGTCCTATTACACGGGGAGCTCTTCTCCGTTCAGCAGAGGATCCGTGAGCAGATCAGTTTTGTGACATCCATGCCTGCTCAGTTTTTGTTTTTGACAGTGGGATGTGGAAGATCTGTGTTGGAGCTATGAACTGCCTGATGTAAGTGGACTGCTTACATCAGGCTACCTCTGATCTGTCACATTTAGGACCAGAAAAAAAAAACAGAAAAGGACACAGTTCTTTTCCTTTTCAGACCTGGAGGAACATGGAGGTAGGTGGATGTAACAGACACAAGTCCACTTACCTCCGCCTGTCGTTAGATCTGCATGGAGCTTCCAATCAGGCCTGCCTGAAAAAAACTGCCAGGCAGACCTGATAAAAAAGCCCATGTGAAAAGGGCTTCCTCTGGTGCCTCCTACCTGAACCTGCTTGGGGAAACAGTCAGGTGTGATGGATTTTTTTGGCTCAGTGCTGTAGCTTTCCCATGATATAGTCAGCCCCTGCAGAGCTCGCCCTTCTGTTTTCCTAGGCCAAATAGTTCACCCAATTCAAAGCTATATGTTTATATGCTGACCTTTTGAAAGAAACTATTTGAAATTAAAGAAAATTCGATCTGTCCCCACTGACAAAGAGGTATACTCTAAATTTCCTCTCATTTCCATTACGTCTCATTTCCTTCTTAACATAGAGAAGCCCAGCTTCTAGATCTTTAACCACTTGCCCACCGGGCACTTTTACCCCCTTCCTGCCCAGGACAATTTTCAGCTTTCAGCGCTGTGACACTTTGAACGACAATTGTGCGGTCATGCAACACTGTACCCAAACTAAATGTTTATATTTTTTTTGAGACAAATAAAGCTTTCTTTTGTTGGTAATTAATCACCACTGAGGTGTTATTTTTTGCTAAACAAACAAAAAAAGACCACAAATTTTGGAAAAAAAGCTTTTCTTAGTTTCTGTTAAAAAGTTTTGTAAATAAGTGATTTTTCTCCACTGATGTGCGCTGATGAAGCTGCACTGATGGGCACTGATCAGCACTGATGAGGAGGCACTGATAAGGCTGCACTGATATGTGGCACTTATGGGCACTGATTGGTGGCATTGATGATAGGCGGCACTGATGGGCATTGATAGGTGGCATTCATGGGCACTGATGGGCACTGACAGGCATCACTAATGGGCACTGACAGGCATCACTGAGGAGGCACTGAAAGCCAGAACAGATGGGCACTATTGGTCGCACTGGTGGGGCTGCACTGATCATCAAGCCACTGATGATGAGTGCCCTTATGATCAGTGTAGATGTCCCCCAGAGAAATGCTTTCCGGCTCTCCTCTCCTTCTGCGCTGTCAGCGTGAGGAGAGGACTGCCAATAACCGGCATTTCCTGTTTATATGTGATCAGCTGTGATTGGACATAGCTGGTCACATGTAAAAGGCAGCTCTGATTGGCTCCCTACTTAGACATGCGATCAGCTGTGACCAAAGGACACAATGATCACAGATCGTGCAGAGTGCCCCTGGGGCACGTGGGGGGGTGTGGTCCTGGGAGGATGTCCGTAGACGCCCTTCCAGAACTAGCAAACTACGCTGTAGCCGTCTTTTGGCTATAGCGTGGTCGGGAAGTGGTTAAAGTGGTGTTAATGCCTTAAGTTTTTTTTTACCTTAATGCATTCTCTGCGTTTTGTTAAAAAAATTGTATTGAGGACCCCCCCGCCCCCCCCCCCCCCCCCCCCCCTTATACTTACCTGAGCCTGATCTCAATTCAGCACTGTGCACAAGAGCAGCACCATTCTCTCCTGTTGTTGTCAATCAAATCCTATGACAAGGAAGCGGGGGATGGGACAAAGCCTGTGTACAGGAGAGTAATCGACAGGGGAGAGGATCAGGGCTCTATAGAGCAGGTAAGTATAACATGTTTGTTACTTAGAGTTACTTTAACCCTTTGTTAGAACAATCTACTTTACAAATGATAATGAGATCTGTCAGCACAGTACAGTCAAGGTCAGTTATGACAAACATTAACTCCTCATTTCTATCTGCATGCTATGTGAACTGGAATATGTAACAAATATAAAGTAAGTGCTATCCCATTTTCCTGCCAAAATGAAGAGACCAAAACTAAGAAATGTTTAAACACATATTAGAATGTTTTATTTTTACTAAACTTTTTTTTTCCTATCGCTATACAATTTTCTTTGTACATTGTACATTTTGATTGTACCTTATCTTATACAATATCACCATACACATGATAATTGTACACATTAGCAGTAAACTGCAAGGAAAAAAAATGGGACCTCTTTGCGGAAATGGTATTTGCACCCCCCATACACACACTATACATTAATTTGCCATAATGTTCATTTTTGTCAGCAGTAGGGGTCAGGGGCGGACTGACCATTTGGAAACTCGGGCACTGCCCGAGGGCCCGGGGTCAGTAGGGGGCCCTATGAGATGCCCCTGGTACCTTTTTCATAGGCTTTTTTGAGTTTGGGCAAGGGCACAGGGGCCCCATGATCCGCTATTGCCTGGGGGCCCCATGAGTTGTCAGTCCGCCCCTGGTAGGGGTTAATGAAAGCTGAATATGGTCATGTGGCTTAAAATAATATTGTAGCTGCAAATTACACTGCTTTTATGTGAGCTAATATAAGGTTTCATAAAAACTAAGGCTTTTAACAATTAAATGATCGTCTTATGTAAAAAAAAAAAAAAACAAAAAAAAAAAACATAAATCCACACTTTTATATTTGTAAATTAAACATTTTTGGGAGAAAACTATTGTGAAAGCTATAAAAACAAAATTAAAATAAAATGTATTCATTTGTAAACTGAGTTTCCATCATCATCTGTTACATTTATAGGTTGTGCCTCCAGCTTAGTAGTTCTTCAGTGATTGTGCTTTACTGTTCCACAGTGCAAGTACACAAACTGGCTGACAGCTACAACCTCAGCATGAAATATTCTGTTACTTCAGGAGTAAGTCTTCAAGGATCCTAAATGCACATAAAGTCTACAAATTGATATAAGATATATAAATTTGAAATTGCAGAGCCGCACGCAAGTAGAAATATGAAGGCCGCCTCATACATTGCCAAGACTTTACAGTAATAACTCAATATGCATTGTCACTCATGGCAAAGTGCAATATCCCTTTAGGGCATCAAAGCTGGAAGCTCATAAAATCTAGGTCTATTTCCTGTGTGTAATGTGTAATACAGGATACATGACATGGATGACCACAGAATTCTTTATTTCTCATTGTGTTGAAAAATAGGCCATGCAAATGGTTGAGAGTGTTGATAAATGAAAAATCCCTTTTAGCTTTCCCCAGATGGCCTTCGTACCAGATATAAATAGCTGTGGGTTGCAGACAGTACTGCTGAATAAGTGAAATGGGTGTGAAGCCTCTACATTCTAGAATGCCCTTAACACAGCAATTACTTTATACAGCACTGATGGGAAATATATCATGAATACTAGAAAAGTTTCTGGATTAAATGCTTTATTAAATAATATATTCCCGGAATCAGTGCAGATTTATGGTTTACAATGCGATATACACATTTAATTGCTTTGGACAACTTGTGTTCAGTTACTTTTATGGGCCCAAATTTACAATTTCTATAGGTTATGGTGTCTATGATGCTAAGCAAATAGATTGGTTCTCCTGGCAAATGCCAAAGCCATTAGATTGCCAGTCTAGGGCTTTCTGTTAGAGCTCATTTACACTTGAGGTGGTGTGGGGGGTGAAAACATGCATGTGATCTGTATTTTTACCACCTCACTTAAGCTGAAAAGGTAGACATGCCACTGCTGTAATGCTTTGCTTCTCAGCTACACTAAAAATGATTGCCTGTCACATTTAATGGGCAGTACCCTGTATCAAGGGAATGGGACCACCCTGCAACCAGATGCAGTGCACGCAGTTGTGTGGGCAGTGGTGGCATATATACTGGGTAAACAGCCAGCGAGGATGCAACATATTGCCTCCTCACAGCCTATCAAACACCTCTGAAAGGCGATCAACCATGTGTAGCATGGGTGGAGGAATCACAGACAGGTGGACTATTGTGTTTATTATCATATAATATATTAGCTAAAACACATTTAAATTGAGCATGTAAAAAAATGCAACTTCTGTATTACACTACATTCACATGGCGGCACAGGGACAGCTGCTGGCAAGAATTGGTACATTCTTGCTGGTGGTTGTAAATGCTACCTGCACACACTATATGGGAAAAGCAACACCCTGTATAAATCAATAGCCGATGCCACGGCCATGTCTTATCTGAGCAGAGGCTCCTACTGACCCTGGACCAGGGGCGGACTGACCATTTGGAAACTCGGGCACTGCCCGAGGGCTTGGGGTCAGTAGAGGGCCCCATGAGATGCCCCTGGTACCTTTTTCATAGGCTTTTTTGAGTTTGGGCAAGGACACAGGGGCCCCATGATCCCCTATTGCCCCATGAGTTGTCAGTCCGCCCCTGCCCTGGACACAGACAGTGTGCGTTCAGAGTCGTTGTTTCTGCGGCATTCTGGCTGAATCTAATATGTCAGTTTGAATGGGGCCATAGAATTTAGGCTCCATTCACACTTGGTGTTTCTGGAACGTGGGACAAAGGGCACAAAAAAATGCCTGTTTTGTCACATGGAAAACACCCCAAAACATGCACTCAAAAAATGTAGCCAAAAAGTTTCTGAAGCTTTTTTGGCTCGTTTGTTGCACGTAGGGCAGCCTTTTCAAGTGCTTGACGCACGGAAATGTGTGAAATATATGCAAAAAAAAAAAAATGCAAGTGGGAGCATGAGTTCCCAGTATGCGAAGATGTGAATCTGGACTTAGCCACATAAATAAAGCAAACTATCTGCCCGTGGCCACCTATGCGGATGTAACCTTATAGATACACTAAAGTTTTGCATTTTTTATCTCTGGATAGAAAAGTTCCTCTAAAAAAAAGAAAAAAAAAAGAAAAAAAACAGAACATGGCGCATATGTGATTTTTTTTTCTTGTAAGTAAAATATGGTAGTCCTCTTCACCACTGGTAGCAGTGTGAAGGAGTGTGGAATCTTGCCTTGGGCCTTTGCTATTCAACTAATTGAACACTACCTAGAAACTGAGTGTTCAGCAGTTGTCAGCTGTTCATTGCATGAGATGAAGAAAGCTGAAAAGCTTGGAACTATACCAGGTTCCCAACTGGTCTTCACAAGCATTTAGGGTGCCTGTTTATTGCACATCACTAGGCAACAAGCTACATGTTCCACCTTTTCACTGGAAATAATAAATTAGATTGATGGGAATGAACAGATTTTTAGGTAATTATTTAAGGATCAGCTTGATGCTAAAAGGCTATCAGTGGGGGAGCTCATTCACCCTCACAGGACAGTCTGTTGACAATCACCAAAACCTGGGCCTGCTGGTTCCACTACCAGACCTCTAGAGAAAATCTAGCTATTCAGACGCCTAATGGTACATACTCCACTTGCAACGCGATACGCGCTTGATGCCCCATCTCTACTTTTATTATTTGGTGTGGGGAGTTAGTGGAACACGTTTGTACTTCGGTTATGCAGAACCCTCCAGCAAAGGGATGAGGGCCCAAACCTTGCTTAATAAATAGCTTATTGTTGCACCTCATTAACTTTGGACCCCGGCAATCACACAATGTCTCCTCTGGCTATCTGGAGGTCCACGTCTCCTTTTCTGCACTCAATTCTGGAGTTTTTTGCATATGATGCTCAGCCTCTGCCTCTGTTTATTCTCCCTAAGCCCCATACCCCCCCCCCCCCCCACCTCACCCTTTTTTTTCTCTTTCCTTTCCTCTATGTTCTTTTTCATGATTGTCTAGGTGGCTCTACAGGTTTTTACTGGATGCCACCCTTCCACTGGTGAGGGGATGACAGACCCCTTGATGAGGTGATTGCAATAATTAACTTTTTTATCTGGTGCACAATTTTTGTTGAGGTACAATAGCTGGTTTGATATTAATAATCGCTGAAGACTTGGCCTTTTCTGGATTTTGCACTTCTTTATATCGTGATTAGAGATGAGCGAATCGAACTTGGCAAAGTGGAATTCGTTTCAAATATTAGGAAAAATTCGATTCGCACCGAATCCGAATTTTAGCAAACTTCGGATGCACGAATCGAATTTTCCCCCCGATCAGCCGGCAAAAAGTGTCACTGCAGAGAGCTCCGCTATTTCTGACAGTTCTCTGACAGTTCTGACAGTTCATTTACAGCGGTTGAAACATTGTATCTATTTGTTTCCATTTAGGATACAGATGTTTTTATTCGGAAACAAATAGATACAATGTTTCAACCGCTGTAAATGTGAAGGAACTGTCAGAGAACTGTCAGAAATAGCGGAGCTCTCTGCAGATACACTTTTTGCTGCACTGGAATTCTTCTTCTTTTCATTTTCTTCTTCTTCTTCTTCTTCTTCTTCTTCTTTTCTTCTTCTTCTTTTCATTCTTCTCTTCTTCATTTCTTTTCATTCTTCTTCTTCTTCTTTTCTTTTTCTTCTTCTTCTTTTCATTCTTCTTTTCATTCTTCTTCTTCTTCTTCTTTTCTACATCTTCTTCATTTTTCATTCATTCTTCCTTTTCATTCTTCTTTTCATTCTTCTTTTCTTTTTTCTTCTTCTTCTTCTTCTTTTCATTCTTCTTCTTCTTCTTTTCATTCTTCTTCTTCTTCTTCTTCTTCTTTTCATTCTTCTTCTTCTTCTTTTCATTCTTCTTTTCATTTTTCTTCTTCTTTTCTTTTCTTCTTCTTCTTCTTTTTCATTCTTCTTTTCATTCTTCTTCTTCTTCTTTTCATTCTTCTTCTTTTCATTCTTTTCTTCTTCTTCTTCTTCTTTTCATTCTTCTTTTCATTCTTCTCATTCTTCTTTTTCATTCTTCTTTTCATTCTTCTTCTCATTCTTCTTTTCATTCTTCTTCTTCTTCTTCTTTTCATTCTTCATTCTTTTCATTCTTCTTTTCATTCTTCTTCTTTTCATTCTTCTTCTTCTTCTTTTCATTCTTCTTTTCATTCTTCTTCTTCTTCTTTTCATTCTTCTTTTCTTCTTCTTCTTCTTCTTCTTTTCATTCTTCTTTTCATTCTTTTCATTCTTCTTTTCATTCTTCTTCTTCTTCTTTTCATTCTTCTTTTCTTCTTCTTTTCATTCTTCTTCTTTTTTCATTCTTCTTCTTCTTTTCATTCTTCTTCTTCTTTTCATTCTTCTTCTTCTTCTTTTCATTCTTCTTTTCATTTTCTCATTCTTCTTTTCATTCTTCTTTTCATTCTTCTTCTTCTTCTTCTTCTTTTCATTCTTCTTTTCATTCTTCTCATTCTTCTTTTCATTCTTCTTTTCATTCTTCTTTTCATTCTTCTTCTTCTTCTTCTTTTCATTCTTCTTCTTCTTTTCATTCTTCTTTTCATTCTTCTTCTCTTCTTCTTTTCATTCTTCTTCTTCTTTTCATTCTTCTTTTCATTCTTCTTCTTCTTCTTTTCATTCTTCTTTCTTCTTTTCATTCTTCTTCTTCTTCTTCTTCTTCTTCTTCTTCTTCGTCGTGCCCCGTGACTGCCCAAATGAGTGAAGTGTGCGGTGATTCTAAGATCGACGGCACTCATCTGCATGTCATACTGACTGACAGTATTATTTCTCTTCCCCAGCAGACTCCAAGGGCATTTAAATTAAAGGTACAGTGTTCTGCACTAATATAAAGGCTCTCTGAAGCCTAGAAACCCTTTTAATAAGTTAAATTCGCAGCGAATAAATTCGCATCGAATCGAATTTCTCCCGCAAATTCGGCGAATCAGCCGAATCGAATTTTTGAATAATTCGCTCATCTCTAATCGTGATATCATTAAAGCTGTAGTAAAGCTTTACTTATATAAGAAAAAAAGTTTTCCCCCTGCAAGGCAATATCATAATGTGCTAGTTTGCATTGCAATAATAGCACATTATGAAAGACTTACCTTGAAACGAAGCCCTCCAGCGGCCTGCTGTCACCGCTGACCCAGTCCATCTTCACCCAGTCTTTCTTCCGGGTTCGCAGGCTCTGGCCATCTGACTGGCGAGCCACGATGACATCAGGGCTTCCATGTGCGTGTAGGAGCCCTGGGCATGGCACAAAGCTCTGAAGGAACGGCTCCGGATGCTGCTCGATGGAATATCTCCTAAATGGTACACGTAAGCTTTATTAAGAAAAATGACAAAAATGAGTTTACTACCACTCTAATATGTTGCCTGTTCTGTGCAATTTATACAGTTATATCTTTGTTCTACTATAATTTCTGTTGACAGGTTTTAGTACTGTGCAAACAAATACAGTATGTATTATGTATTATGATATATGTGCCCAACATCGAGTAATTGTGTCATTCCTCCAGTACATTGAAGGACTGTCAACAGAAGTATATCTGTCCCCTTTATTGTTATTGTAGCTCAGGAGAGCTAGAGTCTAATTTTTACATAGGGGCTGCCAGGTGTAATAGTCAGAAGGGTCAAATTTCGGTCAGGAGCTGAGAGACTTTGCAGATCAGCTCTTTGGGATTTCCCCTGCACTAGAGCTTTAGAGAAAGTTCTAGAAGCAGTGGGAGGGAGTGAGGAGTGGCTGGTTTGCACTCTCAAGGGATCCTGGCCAATCCCCTATAGGAGGCTGGGCTTGGGGTCAAGACAGCCCTTAAGAGTGACTGAGCATGCTTAGTGGAAGGAGAGGAGAAGAGGAAGGGACAGGAGAAAGAGAGAGTTCGGGTGTATGATGGACAACTGAGGCTGGAGAGTGGGAGCCTGGGAGGGAGCCCAGATGGAGAGGGGCTCCCTTCCAGACAGGGACACTGGAAAGGAAGAAAATTCAGTACCTCATCAGCCCCCAGAGAGAGCACCACCTGTGCAGCAAAGAAGGAGTGGCCCAGCCAGAAGGCCTGATAGCAGCCACCAACCCATCTGCTCACAGACAGAGGACTGAGTAAATAGACCTACATCCCCTGGGCCAGTAAGGGGAAGGAGCACTTCAGTGGGAAACTGGATTTGTTTACTAACCGGGACTGTCTTACTTTTAAAGTGACAGGCACTGGATCCCCTGTCCAGGGATTCCTTCAAGCAACCAGATTAGGAAAATCTGGGGTCTGGGGTGGTACTACAATCGATGCTGGCTAGTTCTCCAAGAAGAGGATAAGATGATTTTTGGCTAGAGACTTGTACATAGTTCAAAGAAATTGTCCTCATTTGTTATACCCCTTCTTTATTCTATGCACTCCTTTACCCCATCCAAGTTCAATTCCCCTAATAAAAAAAAAAAAAAAAAAACAAGCTCAAGGACTGGTTACTGTCTCCTGGATGCAAGTCTGAGCGAAGGAAATGACTGTTGCCTGGCTGTGCAGGACTATGAGGGGACCCAAACTTCAGTGACTGTTAAGGGGTTAGTGCTGCAATATTTTCCCTCTTCTATGCCAGATAACTAAGTCTGCAATACAGTGTGCATGTGTAGTGTTCACCTTGCTATGTTAGTAAGTGAACCTGTTTATTGCAATAGAGTTTATATGTTATTTTAGTTAACATTGTCCCTTC